ATTCCTGTTTTCCTTTGACACTTTTAACAATCACTTATAAAGAAAGGAAAATATAAATCTTGATATATGATTACATAGACCATCTTGAAATATCAGGGGAAAGTGTATAACCAGGTACTTAGATGAAATTCAGTTTGAGAAGCAATATAAGAAATATTTTAAAATATGAAAGAATGTATAGTTCATTGGTGAAATAACATTTTTCACAAATTCAAAAACTTACCTTTTCATGCTCACCCAAGATGTATCAAAGATACCCATTATTCTTAAAACTCCTTCAAGAATGTCCCTGATTACATCAGGTGGCATACGCAGTGAACGAATTTCTGAAAGAGATTCTGGCTTAATGTTTCCAACTGCTAGTTTAGCTTCATTGACTAGAGGCTAGAACACGAAAAGGGCATTTTTACTTTCAAAAAATATATATGAAAAAATCACTAACTCTTTACAAATAATGTTTTATTGTCATTTTATTAAAAATGACTCTAGTTACTAATATCCATTCTCTTCAAATATCAAAATGCCCTAAAACACACAAAGTACAAAATGTTCAAATTGAGAAAGTAAGAGTTTCTTCTCACCATAACTACAACAGTCTAATTTGGAAAATCTAATTTGTTTTGAGACAATTTGCCATTTTCAAGAGGCTCTTTATATGCCAAGACTTGTTTGCTTATTTAATCAAGTCTCAAGAAAAAAAGCCTAAGAGTTTGTCTTAATTTATCTACAAAATATTTTTTCCTCTACAGTCTAAACAACATGGTTCACACAAAACAAAGATTATTTTTAACAACCATCAGTTAATTTGCTTACTCCTCCTAGCAGATTTTCCTTCCCGCTTCTCTTTTATAAATAGTATTGAATGAAAGCCACATTGATAATACTATTAGAAAGTGACTTATGCTTTAAACTCCTATGTAAAGTTGGTAATCAAAAATGTAAATGGCTCTTACACTGTTTCATTTTTTTTTTATTAACTTACCTGTACTTCTTTTAATTCATCATCAATTTTGTTTTTCCTTTCTTCAATTTTAATGACTTCTTCTGCTATTCTGTGCTTTAGTCTTTCAAGTTCTGTCTTTTGTTCACTAGCATCCTACAGGAATATTTAAATAGCATTCCAATCAATTTTAATGCACTCAACATTTAAAAGCATAATACCAAAAATGTTATTTTAAAATAGCACTTTCTATTAAATGCTTTTCTAATATTAATTGGCATAAGAGTTTCTAAAATGCCTAGGAAACTGATGACATAATTTACTCTATGTTTACTATTAAGAAGTATGCTTTATTTGATTTAATTTTTTCTGAGTAGCAAAGTAATAAATGCTTACTATTTAAAAATCAAACATTTCAGAAGTGCATAATTTAGAAAATGATCATAATAATATACACATTTACACTTGCAACAACCTTGAGATAAATACTATTATGCTTATTTCATAAATAAGAAAACTGAAAATAGAAGTCTTCTATAATTCTAATAGAATAGTAATAATTCTTAGAGACAATCTATAGTATATTAGAAGTTTGTTTCTAGACTTTATTTTAGACAAAAATTAATTGAAATCATGACACAATAATATGGCAAATATATGAACAAAAATTAGTAAAGATTCAAAGAACACTAAATGATATATTAACACATGACCACTTTGCTCATGAATACAAAAATCAAGGGTCTCACATATATAAAAATGCATGAACATTATGAATGTTTGTGTTTGACTTATTTATTTATTATACTATTAAAAAAGTCAAGGGAAAAAATTTGTCAAGAAACCTTCCAAAAATCCTAACAGTGATTCTCAATCATAATATAATCATTCAAGGAGTTTAAAAACTAATGCTTGGCGTCCTCTCTAGACTTATTGTGGTAATCATGTCACATTATATACATATACAGAATCATTATGTTGTACACCTGAAACTAATATAGTGCTATGAGTCAATTATATCTCAATTAAATCAAAAAAAGAAGAGACCAGAGAGTTTTTTTTTTTCTCTCTCTCTCCCTTCCTAAACTGGAAGAAATAAATTTCTGTTGTTTAAAACAACAACAATACTAACGCCTTGTGTCCTATTGCCAAATACATTGATCCTTCAGGTACCTGACACATGAGCGCAATTGATATCTTTTTTGTTCCACAAGCGTTTCTACCTGTGTATCTCTGCTACCGCTCCTCAACAGGGAAAGTTCTTTTCTCCATCTCCACAATATCAAAATCACCCTTACAGGCCCAACTCACATGCTTCGTGTTTTATTAACCTACTTTTCCAATTGTAAGTTATATCTATTCTGAGTACCTACAGCATTTAGTGTGTTCTTTCCTTATGTCACAAACCTAGAGTTGCTAGCTTTAAAAGTTGTACGGTTTGGTATTTAAGCTGTCTCTCCCTACCATACTTATGTATAAAATAACAAACAGAAATGTCTCCAATTTATAATTGAGCAAAATTATTAACTTATAATACAAGATGCAGAGTTATTCTTCTGGGTCTCTACTAAGTAATACAATTAGCTACAGTGTTAGAAATACCTCTTCCCAGAACAGTCCAGAGAAAAGAATAGCATAGTACTCAATGTATATTAATAATGTTCACTAGGTTGAAGGTACATAGGCACATGGAGTGCTGAATATTTTCCTTTTGTAAATATATAGTTATCAATGGTATTATTCTTTATGAAGCTTTTACTTTTTTCAAATTACTCTTTAAAGGTAAGAAACTTAAAGGTGTTCCAATCGCAGCAACAGAAGCTAGGAGAATATGGAACAATGCCTTCAATTTCCTGAAGGGAAAAAAAGTATTTGATAGATATTCTTAACAATAAAAATGACTAGCTGCTTCAGATAAATATTTATATTACTTTGGTTCTAAAATTCCTTGATAAAAAATTATGCTAAAGTTTTACAGTTATGAAAATTAAATTTATTATCTGATCTATTACTTCCAGGTCAGGCAGTCCATAAATTTATCTTGTAAACACTGAATGTGTATATAATCATCAATTATCTGCAAATGTTATTGCTTTGAAGATTTTCCATCTGCCAAGGAATTTATTTTGACATGCCAGGTGAAACCTTTTGCTTATGCCACTCAAATCAGTCCAGATAACCCTCTTGAGAAGTTCACAATAAACAAACCTCCTTTCCATGCTCAGATTTTCAATGAAGATGACCAAACATGAAAAGAAAGCTTTTTTTGTGAATAACTAAGAATTATTCTTTAACTGAGAATAAAGCAATCATGTAAGAAAAATAATAATAAAACATATTCAGAAAAAAAAACATATTCAGGAAAAAGAAAACTTCATAAAATATCCTCTGAGAGCTAGTTGGAGATACTGCAACAATGAAACAACAACAAAAAAGGACACTACTGCCAAAAGGAAACATCTAGAGATTTTTTTTAATCTCCTGAAAAATAATTTAACAGAAATGAAAAACTCAATAGGAGGGTTAAAAAATAAAGTTGAAGAAATTTTGAAGGAAGTAGAGCACATAGAGAAGAAAAAAAGTGAGAAAATATAAGAAAATTAGAAAACCAGACCAGTAAGCCCAAAGCCCAAATAAGAAGAATTCTAAAAAGCAAGAACAGAGAAATAAAGGAAAAGGATTTATCAATAGAATAATTTAAGGAGATTTCTCAGAACTGAAGGAGATAAATTTTCAGGTAGAAAGAACCTACACTGGACACAGTGGATGAAAATAAACCTAAACGAAAGCAAATCACCACATCTTTCAGAAAAATGGAAACAAAGATCTAAAAGATTCCAAGAGAGAAAAAAAAAAAGTCACCCCAAAACAGATCAGGAATTAAAATAGCTTTGAGTGTTTCAATCACAACAATGGAATCTAGGAGAAAATGGAACAATGCCTTCAAAATCCAGAATACTATTCCCAGCACACAACCAACCAACCAACCAAGGACAGAGAAGAATGTTCATATATGTGAGATCTCAAAATTTATTGCCCATGTATCCTTTCTCACAGAGCTTTTGGGGACAGGCTCCACAGAAACGAGGGAGTAAACCAAGATGATAAAGAATGATCTCAGGACAGCAGCTGTAACCAGGCAAAAAATGAAACAAGCCAGAAGGCTCTAGGAGAGAATGCTGCAGGTGGCTAATGAAAATTTAAAAATAGCTGAGGCTTTGTGAAGTCTTCACAGAATATTTAGAACACATTTTTAAATATGCAGTTTATGGAGTCATACCACTCCCCTTCCCAACTATCAGAAGTCTGGAAAAAAAGGTTATTCTTCTGAGAAATTAAGTCAAAGAAGCTCTGGATTTATAATTACCAGGCTAAGCACTACAAAGCTAAGGGCTAGAATGAGGTCTCATACTAAAAAGTAAGGGGATTACATTTCCTTGCTGATTAATGATGTTGAGCATCTATCTTTTCATATATTTACTGGCCCCTTTATAAGTCTTTTTTCATAAAGGGCAGGTTCAAATCTTTTGCCTATTTTTAAATTGAATTGTTAGTTTTATTAGTATTGAGTTGTAATCACTTCTATACATGCTAGATACAAGTCTTTTATCAAATACACGTTTGTAAATATTTTCTCCCAGTCTGTGACTTGCCTTTCATTTTCTTTGGAATTTACTTAAAAGAGCACAAGGTTTTAATTTTGATAAGACCCTATTTATCATTTATTTTCTTCTTCTATTTTGGTATCATATCTAAGAAAGCTCTGCCTCACCCAACATCATAAAGATTTTCTCCCATATCTTCTTCTAAAGTTTTATAATTTTATGCTGTACATTTAGGTCTATGATCCATGTCGAGTTACTTTTCATATAAGTTGTAAGGTAAAGGTTTGAGGTTTTTTTTCCTCTCTTCATGGATCTCCAAATATTCCAGTACCACTTTTTAAAAAGATCATCCTTTCCCCATTTAAACAGTATTTTTGTATACAATTAATTGACCATGTATGCATGAGTCTGTTTCTGGATGCCACAGTGTTCCGATAGTCGCTATGCCTATCATTACACCAATATTACCCTACCTTGACTACTGCAGCTTTATAGTAAGTCTTTATATCATAAGCCCTCCACGTTTGTTAAGACTTTTATTATGCTATTTACTTTTACTGAGATATATACACTAGTCTGATAAACACTGAAGTTAATTTAAATTAAAGAGGAATTGGACTTCAAGTAAGGTTAATAGTCACCCACATTGAGATGGGGAAACATACTTAAGACAAATCAGGGAGGTAAAACTAACAGAATTTAATGATTCATTAGAGTCATGAATTGAGGGAACAGAAATCTAACATAATTTATAAATTCTGTCTTGAATAATTAGCTATAGTGTAGTGCCATAAACTGAGGAAAGGAATACAGAAAAGGAAATTGTAAGTTCAGTTTTGTTGTTGTTGTTTTATGCCGTACGCGGGCCTCTCACTGCCGTAGCCTCTCCCGTTGCGGAGCACAGGCTCCGGACGCGCAGGTTCAGTGGCCATGGCTCACGGGCCCAGCCGCTCAGCGGCATGTGGGATCTTCCCGGACCGGGGCACGAACCCGTGTCCCCTGCATCGGCAGGCGGACTCTCAACCACTGCGCCACCAGGGAAGCCCATAAATTCAGTTTTTAATCTGTTTTGAATTGTGAGACTTTCAAGAAGACATGTCTAACAGATAATGGGCTATTTGAGTATGAAGTTCAGAGGAAGGATAGGGCTGAAGGACAAAAAAGATGGATTTGGTGGTAATCAGTACGTAATCAGTACTAAAAAGCAAGGTAATGGACAGGAGCCTACTGAGAGGGTGTGCAAATGTAAAAGAATACCCAAGCAAGAAAGAACAGAGAGAAATCTCCCTTGAGAGGGCTCAACAAAAGAAAGGCAATGTTAAAAGAGGATATAAACAAAATATTAAAAATATCATGAAAGTATAAATAGAATGAATAAAGATTTATTTTGTAAATCTTGAGAATATTAAAAACAGGGAAAACCCTTGAAGCCTAAAAGAGATATTAAGAAAAATAAAAGGAAATATTAACTAACAGAGGGTAAACAAAATCAGTTACAGACAAATCTATACCAATTAAAATGTTTATATTTTTATATTATAGGGTTTAGATAAATGAGTGTATGAAAATTGAGGATAATATAGTTTTGATTTCAAACAATATGGGAAAATAACATACTCTTCCACAAAAGTTCAAGTACACAGCATTATCAGTCTACTCAGCACAGACAAGCAATATTTTTTAAATCCACATAAGTAAAAATGTTATTGTTCACACCGATTGACAATCAGGCATAAATGACCTTTCTATTTTTTGCATTGCTGAGCTTACTCTAAACATTACCTGCATTGATACTGTGATCTCTTGAAGAGCAGAATCTGCTTCATCTTGCTTAGTTTTAAGTAATACACTTTGTTCTCCAGCTTTTCTGTTCAGTTCATCCACGAGAGCTTTAGCTTCATTTAGTTTAGATACACCAGCCTACATTAATAAAATATTGATTGATAATATTAAAAGAAAAGGAATTTTATAGACATACAGTAAACAAAGTCTATAAGAAAGAATCAAGCATAAATGTAAATGTGTACATATACTACATTTGCAAGTGGACTTAGGTATTTTCGTCTTGCTGATTATAATGATTTATTCAATTGTGTACCCATTTTTTTTTTTTTTTTTTTTTTTGTGGTACGCAGGCCTCTCACTGTTGTGGCCTCTCCCATTGCTGGGCACAGGCTCCAGACGCGCAGGCTCAGCAGCCATGGCTCACAGGCCCAGCCGCTCCGCGGCATGTGGGATCCTCCCAGACCGGGGCACGAACCCACGTCCCCTGCATCGGCAGGTGGACTCTCAACCACCGCACCACCAGGGAAGCCCTGTGTACCCATTAAGATGTAGTAGAAGACTCCACAGAGGCTTTAGACAAAGATAGATTTTAAAGCATCACAGTAAAGCTGAACAGATCAACATATATTAGATATTAGATAGCTTAAATAGTAGGGTTTTTACTCAGTGCATTAGACAGGAAGGAAAATAGAAAAGAAAAAAATTCTGTAAACCTTTCCCATTTTTCAGTCTCATTAGTTGGGCAGAAGGACTCAGGGGCCACTCTTTTTATATTGGATGTGACTTGGTTTTGTCTGTCCACTACCCAACTATTTTATAAGAGACTGCCTTACAAATGGGTCTGGTAAGCAATCACTCAAAATGCTTCAGCTATTCTTTGGGTGGTTGTTTGACCCTGGCTTGGCCATTATAACACCCCATTCCACAGTCCATGGATAATCCAAGGAATAAACATGAAAAATATTCCCTCTCTGCTTTAACATGATTGGGTTTTTGCCACATAACAAATCAGAAGATTTGGAAAGTTAGTAATGGTAAAAAAAAAAGGAATGTAAATAGTATTTACTGAGCACCCAGCACAGAGGACAGGCATCATGCTGGTTCTTTACATTTGAATTTTATCTAATGTACTCAACACAATCACCCAATTAAGCTGCAACTCAGTGAGTTTAAGTGATTTACCTGAAACACCATAGAGAACTAAATCAGGAAATTAACCCCCCAAAGCATGTAGTTAGTGGCTTAATATAAATGAAAGTGAATCATTAGAAAGAAGAATAAAGATAACTCTGCCAATTAATGTTCCTAGTTTACGACCCTCACAAAGAGAAGCAAGAACTTGGCAGAGGAAATGCTCTCTGACAGAATCTGAAGCTGACATTCTAATACCATGCTTAAGTTTAAGCTCTGCAGTTAGAGAAATACAAAAAGAAAACTGTTCAGAACGTACCAAGTTAAGTGACATGGATAAGAATATATTTATAAAATATAATTTTAAGAATATATTTATAAAATATAATTATAAATATAATTTAAAGTTTATTATAAAGCATAACATTGGATATTACGTGTTAATTAATAATAGGCATTTTTTGATTTCTAAAACTTATTCATATGAAAAAGATATTTAAAGACAGTACCATAAACTATCAAAAACACATAAATACCATGCAGTGAAGAAATAATTATTCAAACAAAAAAAATTACAAAACCATTACTATAATCTAGTGGGCTATAAAGGTAGGTGAGACAGTTTTACAAGATATTTAATACAGTACAATATTTATTTATATTAAATATGGCAACATGGCATTGTGATTTACATAATCCTTGTCCCCTATGTATAGATAAAATAATTTAAGATTACCAATATTGTACCTGCAAATGACTTTGTCTTTTTAATAATTCCTTTCTCTTGCTGCTACTAATGGCAGAATACACACGTAAAAAGGTCATATATCGGCTTGGTGTAGCACCATATGCTTTACAAGACTTGTGGATTAATAAAAATGATTTTAGAAAATCAGGATCAACTAGAAAGAGAAAAAAAATGACTTAATGTAAATACCTCAGTGAATAAAATCAACTTCTAATGAATTTTCCAAGCAGAACCCTGAGAAATATTCTTGCATCCTTCTTCTTCCTTGCATGCAACAGCCATTACATAACCAAGTCCTCTTTAGATTACCTCCTAATATCTCCCCAAGTCCATTCCTTCCTCTTAGATTAGAAGGCAATAGCCTTCTATACTGGTCTACAGTACCTCTGGTTTCTCTACACCAATCTATTTTTCATAACTCAAGAAAGGGGTAGACGCAGAGACTTATGTTTCTAAAACAAGCCTCTGGTTACATCTCTACCAAAAATCTCTCAATTATTCCAAATCACCCACAAGTCAGAATCCAAATTCCTTCTTTAGCATGACATGGAAGGCTCTTCCTTACCCGACCCTGCCTACCTTTTTCTCTTCATCTAGTACTCTACTATTTATTATATCCTATGTCTTAGCCCTTCAGGGTATTTATAGTTCCATAAAAATGCCTATTTTATTTCTTCAAGCCTTTTCCATGCTAGTCACTCTAACCAGAATGACCTTCCCCAAACTGCCTGTCTGGGCAATGTGCATTTCCTTTAGTATCTGCTAGGTAGAGGCTTTACTTTCCAATGTACTTCATATAAACTTCTACCATCACTTATCCTGCTATAGCAAAATTTTATGTTTAGATATAACATATTTCTTGCTATCACTAGATTATCCTAAGTCATCTCCAGTATAGAGTCTAGTACCTAATATAAAACAAGTTCAATAAATATTTAATAATTAGATGATTAGATTAAATAAATGAATAAATATGCTATGGTATAAAAGAAAAAGACCACAGTCAAAGTTAATGTGGAAATGGAGAAAATAATGAGAACATTATAGTTAAGAAAATATTATGTCCATACTCAAAGAATCATAACACAGTTTTGCATATGAATTGAGTGCTTTGACATATCTAAGTGATAAGCTAATATGAAAAGTTTAGGCTATTAGCCCAAAACCCTATATAAGTAAGTCCTTTAGATCATTTGGGTCAAAAATGTAAATTTCTAATGTCTTAATTTTAAACAACAGATATGCTGTTAAGTCCTATATGAAATGACATAAACATTAGTTTTAAAAAAAGAGGGCTTTAAAGTTTAGTTTGCATCAAAAAACCTAACTTACTTAGTTTAGCATTATTCCAATTCATAATCATCATGAATCTTTAATGGATCTATAACATTAGAAATCAGGAATTATTTCATCAATAAAAATCAGATAAAATCAATTTCATCAAAATACTACCTGAATTTTTTTTCTTTTCTTCTTTTCTTTTTTTGTCACTATATTTTTCTTCACCACCTGTTTCACTGAATAACATTTCAGGTATCTAAAATAGGAAGAGCATTTCTTTAAACCTCAATTCAGTAGGAAAAAGTTTAAGTAAATCCAATATCAGAGGTTAAAAAACCTTTAACACACACACACACACACACACACACACACACACACCAAAAAAAGAAAAAAAAAACAGTCTCAATTGGACTTTTCTTCTAGGATTCTTTAGAGGACATTATTTCCTAGTCAAGATTTTGACACATATCAACCATTAATGTATTGCAAATTAATAGCACATAGGAAAGCTTCAACATCTTGCTTGAAAAATGATTAGATTTTTTGAAATGAAGAAAATCACATTTTTGATTGAATTAGAAAATAATCACAAATGCCATTTAAAATAGTAAAATAATAAAATAAATGTTTTATTTGGCATCAAACTAATAAAATGCCTTCATGGCATAAAGGAATAGGAAGGAAGCTTAGCTTTCTTAAATAAGAAATAACTAAAACTGAACAAAAATAATTTCATAATTGATAATTAATGTAACTGCCATCAACATAATTGATAATTCTAAAAACTATCTATTGTCTATAGCTAGGTTTTTGCCACTATCACAAATAAGAAAATAAAGTTTCATGAACAGACATCATCATTATTAAAGAAAATATTATAATATTATAAGAAGAATACTATTTTAAAATATACAAAAAAAAAATTTTAACTCTATTTCTGGGAAAAAGAAAATAAATAAGTAGAACTCTGAAATTTTAAAATTAAGCCAAAACCTTCAACTTCTTTCATCTGATACAGTTAACATTCCTAACAAGAGGAAGTACAAGTAATCTAGGTAATTAGGTCAAAAAATCATTTTCTGAATTTCTCAGACTGAATAAACCATTAAGCCAAAAGATTCCTTAACTAATGGAAAGTTTGAAAGTGCCATGGTTCTTGAGCCAAAGAACATTTTTTTTTTCAAATATGTTCACTGATTTCTGAAAAAACACTTAAGCAACTGTGAGAATATTTTAAATATACAGTTTTAAATCAATGGAAATTTGTTTCTTTGGAAACTTACTTTCTTTAAAAGTTTATCCCTTATATTAGTTAGCGGGATTGTGGTAATCATTTCACAACATATAAATACACAAAACAACATGTTGTATACCTTAAATATATACAATTTTATGTGTCAATTATACCTCAATAAAGTTGGGAGGGATGGGAAACATTCTATCCCTAAACGATATTCTACATTAGCAAAGTTTTCCTGCCTGGATTTACCCACATTCCCCTTTGCCTCCACTCTCCCTCCTTGGGGATAAAAATGGCACTTTTTAAAAAGAATTGAATAAGTATATTAACCCTATTAATTCCTATTAATACCCTGACCTCTCGATTCCTTGAATTCTTCTCCTTCTGTTTTCTATCACCTTTTTCCCGGCCACTCACCCTCACTTCAAAGGGTCACATCCTGATACCTTGTCATTAACAGCAACTGCAATCATTTCATAATCTCACTTTCAAACATCCCATCTCTTCTACCACTACACTCCTGTCTTCCCAGCTCATTCCATTTGCAATGTCAATCATCCTCAGACTCCACCAAGACCTACAATCTATTAATTTAACAACGTTTATACTGTCATTCACCATCTTCCTACCATAATTTCTCAGCTCCCTTGGCCTTCACTTGCTTTGTCATACTCGAGTAGCAAAGCAAAGCCCCAATCCTGGTTAAATGCAAGTCACCACCTGTTGAAGGTCTGCACCTATGAGTGCACATGTAACTGGAGAAAAAACACACAACTATGCTGACTGGCCTCACTGAACTTTATTATCACTAACCTCATGTGAACCCTTAATGCTACCTAGCTATTATACTCCATTCTCCTAAACCTTTCCCTCTTTCCCTCTTCCAAACTACTATTTTGCATATCCTCTAATATCTCTTCAAGACTCCAAAATCTGTTCCCTCTACTTTTCTCTCAACTGATAATCTTACCTCCTATTTCATTGGGAAAATAGAAACATCCAGAAGTGTCCAAAACTTCCCATACCACACTTGCCCACCTACTTGGAACTGTGCCCCTGTACTCTGCTTCCCTTCCTGTTATTATGGATAATGCTTCCATTCTACAAGCAAAGGCCTATCCTTAATCGTTTCATTTGTGCAATAGACCCATATGCTGTCTACTACCCAAGGATGTTGCTCTAGCAATTTTCCCCTGTCTTTCATGTAACATACATGTTTTGCATCTTTTGTGCATTCCCAACAGTGTATGAAAATGCTACAGTTTGTCTTAACTTAAAATTTTTTTTAAAAAGAAAGAAAACATTTTAACCCCCACTTCCTCCAGTTACTGATCCATTTTTATCTTCTACTTTATAACAAAATTCCTCAAAAGAGGTGACCATATTCACTCTCCACTCTTCTCATTCTTTCTGAAACACATTTCAATATGTTTTTTCTCCACTACTAACTGAAACTGCTTTATCAAAGTCACTAATGAACGCCATGCTGTTAAATGCAACGATCAGTTCCCAGGCCTTGTCTACCTTCAGGTGTCACCATTCATCCTTCCTCAATCCTTTGAAATGCTGTCTTCACTTGGCTTCTAGGCTTCACTTGTCTACACGCTCTCCTGCTTTCCTATTTCCCAAGCAGTTCCTTCTCAGTATCCTTTGCTGGTTCCTGTTCTTCATCTCAACCTCTTAATGTTGAAGTGCCCCAGAGTTCGGCCTTTGCATCTCTCCTCTCTTTGCCAACATTCACTTCCTTAGTGATATTTTTTCTCACAGCTTTAAATGCCAGCTATACTCTGATAATTCCCACAATCTTACCTGTATGCCTGACCTTTTCCCCTGTTCTCATATATCCAAATGTCTTCTCAATCTTCCAACTCAGATGTCTAACACCTCATATTTCACACATCTAAAACTGAAAGCCTCATATTCTCCTCCCAAAATGTTCTTCTCAGAGTCTCCCCTCAACTGACAGGTATTCCATCCTTCCAGGTGCTCAAGCCAACAGACTTGGAGGTATCCTTAACTCCTCACTTTCCCTTACACCTCATTACAATTTGTCAACAAATCTTATCGTTTCTACTGCAAAACATACCCAGTATCTACCACTTCTCACCACCTCTACCACTACATCCTGAAAGCAAGCCATCCTCGTCTCTCGCCAGATTACTGCAATAGCTTTATGACTGCTTCCTCCTTGTCTTCTATGGTCTATTTTCAGCTCAGAAGCCAGAGTATTACCATTAAAACATTAGAATAGTTTTGCTCAAAAGCCTCCAAGGGATCCCTTACTTGTTTCCAGGAAAGCCAAAATCCTTATAAGAGCGTCCAAAGCCCCACCCTAACCTTTCTCTTACTTCACTGACCTCATCTGCAACTACTCTCCCCCTTGATCGCTCTGTTACAAATGAACTGGCTTCTTGCTGATCCTCAGAATCACCAGGCATGCTCTCATCTCAGGTTCTTCACCTAGAAAGCTTTCCCCTCAAATATCCCCCAAAAGAATGTAAATTCCATGAGGGCAGGGACTTTTGTCTTTTTCTCTGCTATATCCCCAATATATAGAATAGTGGCATGTATTAGGCACCCAATAATTACTACTTCTTAATGAATACCTCTTGTTCATTGGCCTCCACAGACTAGAATAACTTTCCTCTCCTTTACCTACTTACTGAAATCTAACTAAAATATCATCTCAACTCTAAAACCTTGTCTATTATCTCAAATTACACTCCTTCCTCTGAATCATGACAGGCATTAGTCTGCACTTCTACTATACAAAAATAAAGAAATGAATGATTGGGAATATGAGTATCATTCAAAGAGACAATATTGAAAATTATTATTAATTCAAATGAAGCAATATAAAAGGCTTCCAGCTGAGACAGTGCTATCAGTTCACACTTTAAACTCATCCCCCTCTGAACACATATCATAGCAATGACAGATTTTTTAAAAAGCATCTAAATTTTAATTTAAACAACAGCTAATATTATTGCTGTGATATTTTTATCATAAGCTAGCCTATAATAGGCTAAGTAATGAAATGCATAAAATTTTTAAAGTACAATAATATCTCTGTGGTCCTTAATTAAGAACATAATCTTCCACCTAAAATTCTATACTCAACTAAACTATCAAATACAAGAGTATGAAAAAAAGAGTTATTTTCAAACTTATGCGAGATTTTCAGTGCCACAATTAAGGTAATATTATAATAAACACCAAAGGGAAGTTGTGACAATCAATAACTTTTAAAAAAATGTGCTTACTTTTTACTTCCATATTTAAACATTAAACTTACTTTCTTCATACTGCTATCTGACCAACCCTCCATCCACAACACCTGGCATTTCTTATGCAAAGCAGGATTACTCTCACAGTTTATTATGAAGTTTAAATTTGCAGAATCCATTATCAAGACAATATGCAAGTTTTGTTGAATTCCTAAAAAAATAAGAAAATTATACTCTTGGAATATTACAATAATAATAATTGAAGAAACCTATATATGGTCTGGTTTTATGAAATTAAAATGTTTTGAAATGGGATGGTAGGAGCTGTTTATAAAAAGAACAAGCTATGAAACAGTATTACAGTATAATTTTTATTTTGGTTAAAAAATACGTGTGTGTGTGTGTGTGTGTGTGTATGCTAGGATAAAAGATCCAGAAAGGTATGATACTGCTGTTACTTTTCAAACATGACACTGGATTCTATTTTGTAATTTTTCTTTCAAGGATTTTTGTTTCAATATTCATAAGCAAAACTGATCTCTGGTTTTCTTTTAGGAGAAATACCTTTTCCTTCTTTCAGTGTCAATATCATTTTCCCTTTGTATAAAGGATTTTGGACACTTTCCTTTATTTTCTATGTTCTGAAACAGTTTAAAATAGCATTGAGATGATCTGTTTCTTAAAGGTGTAGTAGAATTTCCCTGTAAACTTGAAGTGGACAGAAGGGAGGGTAGCTCTTTAACAACTGTCTCTATTTCATCAATAATAAATGTTCTTTCAGAAAAATAAAGATCAATGTAATAGTCACGTCTGGGTGCTGCCATCATTGCCTTATTTTTTGTTTATCAATTTTAGATATCTACAGTGCACATGAAACTACTTCTGTAGTAATCAAACTTTCTTTAGTTTCAAAAAAAAAAACACTACAGAGTCTGGCACAACCTAAATAGTTCAATAATTCTCTAAGATAGGAGGTACTAAAGCACAAATTTCACCACATGAAAACAAAAGCAACAAAGTAAATATTCCAAAGAACATTACCATACTTTCACCCTTCCCTTTCACTAAAATTTTGCTAACTTGTTTTTATTATAGGTTAGCCTTTAGGCTACTTATTTGCTAATGAGAAAATAATGCAAATTAAATGGTATTTATTTCATATGAAACATAGTTTAAATTGATTAACGAATTCTATGGCACTTACTATATGTGAAGTAATTGAAGACTGGTCCAAAAAATCCATCCTGTGAAGCCTGATCTTTAAGAGGCAATAGCAAGGGCTCTAATTCTTCAAGAGTGTAGAGTCCAGGAACTTCACCTACAGAACATTACATTTCTTTTGAGTTTTACCTGCATTACACTAATTCAAAACACATTTTACACACACAATGCTTCTTCTATTTTTGTATCAAATAATCTGATGTTATACAAGCTTTGTTTTCAAAAATAAACAAACCCTATCACCCTCTATATTATTCACAAATCTACATCTATAGCCTTCAGTTGATTAAGCAAACCATTAAAGACAGTTCATAATCTAGCCATCTATCTGCTTTTCCAAGTCCTTCTCTACCCCAACCCCACAAGACCTTGTATTCTAGCCTCAATGAACTTCTTTGTGTTCCAAAAATTTAATGAAATACTCCCTCTTCCTGGAATATTATACCCACAGTCTTCCTCTGCCCCTTATCTTCCCCTAATATTACTGCTTATCCCTCAAGACACTACTTTGTCAACTGCTATGTCCATGAGACTTTCCTGAATACCCACATGGTAGGTAAAGCACTCTTTTCTCTTGTGTATAGTATCCAAACATCACTGTTTAGCATTTACTACATCATTTAATAATGAATGAATTACTTCCCTTTCCTGCCCAATTAGATTCTGAATTCCCGGAGAGCGAATATTTGATCATGATCAATATTAACCTTAGGGCATTCTTAGAAAGTATCTAAAACATAAATATTTGTTAAATAAATGAACAAACGAATTATTAAATGAATGAATGAACTTGTACTAGAAATCAGGAGAACTAGTCATGGCCTGCTACTATACAACAGAATGATGAAAGTCAAATCAAAGGTGATTAAGACTATAAGAATTTGATAGAGGGCTTGAAGCTTGTCTTGTTCACCACCATAAATCCAGTTATTTAATAAATATTTGTTAAACCAACATGTTTGTAGTTCACAAGAAACTGTAAGATTAAATGAAAATTCTTTTGCTGCATTCATGTAGAGCCCAACATAGTTTGAATCCCTACTTTTCTTTAGGCTCATCTCAGAGATACCAGACTGCTCCCCAACCACCAAGGATGTACATATTCAAATGCATACACACATAAATGTGCTCTATGTCTTCCTCTAAATTTCAGCCATACCAAGATACCCTTGATTTCTTAAGTTTGGTAAAGAAAGCTAGCTCTATTTACATACTCTATAGGGAATAATAATTTGAAATATAAAAAAGAGACAAAAAGGCCTATTGAGTACTTTCTCTGAAAGTATTTTTCAAATACTTTTCTTGCCAAAAACGTTGTCAAAATTTAACTTTACCAAAATTTAGCTTTATTTATGATTTTTGCTATTATATCTTGATAAAAAGACCAATTTATCTTACAATAAAAATAATTACTGGGTTAATGCTTATCTGGATGTTTGCTTTCATAAATTAAAACCAAAACAAAAATACAAAAACCCTGTATATATCTGGCCTACAAGTTTATCTCAGCCAAAATGAACAAGGTCTCCATCTAGTGACAATTTAAGCAATATGCAAGAATGTGCACCTTAAAAATCAGAAGAGATTATTTATAAAAAGGGCCGCAAACACTTCAAGCTTGCTCAAGACATACCACTTTCACTATACCATTTCCTTTCACTTTGACAGAAATTGACCTACCACTTGTGTAACTACAGTCTTTCTCATTTGGGCACTAAAGTGTAGATACCTCACTTTATAAATGTTTCCTTCAACCAAAGCTGTTAAATTCTGAAAAAAAAAAAAAAAAAAAAACTATTTTATCCCAGAGTCTACCTAGCAGGATACAAAACAAGTATTTATTAAAACCTGAGTGGAACATGAGCATCATGCAAATTTTGTCCTCGGGTCCCTAGAATGGAACAATTCATATAGTTGAAACTAGCTTTTAACAAGGTTTACTTTGTACTTAAGTACCAAAATACTTAGTCCAAGTTTAAAACGAAGCTACCTCATACCAATTCTACTAACAGTGGTTATGCATTATAAGGAGATTATAATAAACTTCATAAATTCTTCAGAAAAGGAAGAATTGCAGGAAATTGCAGGTATTCTCCTCAGGAAATCACCAAAAAGGTCAGGTGGCTCCAGAGACAACAAGAGTATAACACAATTCGAGAAATATGAGACCTCATATATCTGAAATATATCTGCTATTATATAACCACATTTAAGGCCATATTATAATTATTCAATTATTCCATTAATGATGGACAGTGAGGTTCTATCAAATTTTTATTACAAATTATACTACATATTTCCTTACATACTAGTTCTTTTATTTCTATAGGTTAAATTTCTACACATAATATAATTTCTGTATCAAAGGGTATAACACATTTTTTAAATTTATTTATTTATTTATTTTTAGCTGTATTGGGTCTTCGTTGCTGTGTGGCGGTCTTCCTTTAGTTGCAGGGAGCAGGGGCTATTCTGAGGTGGCTTCTCTTTTTGCGAAGCACAGGTTCTAGGCACGCAGGCTTCAGTAGTTGTGGCTCAAGGGCTCTAGAGAGAAGGCTCAGTAGTTGGGACACACGGGCTTAGTTGATCCACAGCATGTGGGATCTTCCTAGACCAGGGCTTGAACCCGTGTCCCCTGAATTAGCAGGTGGATTCTTTTTTTTTTTCTTGCGGTACGCGGGCCTCTCACTGTTGTGGCCTCTCCCGTTGCGGAACACAGGCCCCGGACGTGCAGGCTCAGCGACCATGGCTCACGGGCCCAGCCGCTCCACGGCATGTGGGATCCTCCCGGACCGGGGCACGAACCCGCGTCCCCTGCGTCGGCAGGCGGACTCTCAACCACTGCGCCACCAGGGACGCCCGAGCAGGCGGATTCTTAACCACTGCACCACCAGGGAAGCCCGGTAATAACACATTTTTTAAATAAGTACTGGTTGATAACTTTCCTAAAAGGTTATAACTTATAATAGTCCCACCAAAAGTGTGTAAGAGAGCCAATTTTTCAGTCTATTCATCAATATTCAATATTTAATCATCATTTTTATATAATTCCACAATCTCTTGGTTTTATAATAACAGGGTTTCTCAGTTCTCCTGCTCTGAGAGTGTTTCATGTTTAATCCTATGTCACTTTAATAAAAGCTATGCCAAGTGTTCTCTGAAACGTAATTTTATATAAGATCACTTTGCTTGAATAAGTTTTACATTACTTTTTCTCTTTAAATAGAACCCATTTACTTGCCTGAAGACAAAAGGCTATTGATCATCTCCAAAAATGTAGGATGTACAAACTGATAATCCTCAAGAAGTAAAACTACTTGTTGTGCTTCAATACCTGCAAGATGTAGCACCTGCACAATAAGAAAACACATTTTGGTACCCATTAAATATTTTTGGCACAGGTAAAAACTTTCATTCTGTATGTAAACTAAGTTGTTTTTATTGATTGATATTTGAGTAATCAAAATTTAGCCATATAGTCTAGAAAGTAAATCCACTGAATAATCAAAATTTAGCCATATAGTTTGGAAAGTAAATCCAGTTCATAAACAAATACTACTGGGAGGAAATTTAATTATTTTACATCTAGGACATTAAAAGCTAGAGGATAATTTTTAAATACACCTACATATGTCCTAAATGCCATCTTTTTGTTTATCTTACCTATTCATATAACATCCCATAATCTGGGGTGCTGAGAGCTAAAAACATAATTTTGTAACAATTATGGAGAAAACAATCATCAAAATTAAAATAAAGACTATGTTGCATATCAGAGATCTAAAGGTCTTTAAAGGCTTTTAGAATAACTAACTGTGATTTAAAACCAAATAAAACAAAAGACTGTGAGTCACTCACATGTTTGAGATCATTTTTGAACTGCTTCAGTTCATATCCCCTGGAAATCTTTGGTGAAAACAGCACTGCTCCATGCATATGACTGACTAAAGAAGTGATGGTCCGACGACCTACACCACTGCATCCTGCTAACAGAAGTGAACCTCCAGGAAAACTCAGCACTCTGTCTATCCTAGACATATATTCCAGGACTTCTTGGAAAAGTAAAATATCTAAATTCTGGTTATCTCGTCCATAATGAATAAGACCCTTCAAAAGATCACAAAGCGTATTATATAATTAATATAAGTCCAAATTACATAATAAAATGTTAGTTATCTAGATTAAGAGATTATATTTTTGGTGCCCTCAAGAAAAGGGGTTAAGTATATTCATGTTGTCTCACACTCTTTTATCTATCCAGTAATCCAGCTTTATGGCACTTTCTAAGGAAAAATTTACATGATGTCAAACAAGTTCATGGGTCCACAACAGTCAGTTACTTTTGAACACCATTAATATAACTAGTAAAAAGCAGTGTAAGACCGCAGGTTAATTATAAAGACTTCAAAAGCTCTCAAATTTTTACCACTTGTTACACATCAAATCAGTGTGCACAGACTATAAAACAATCCCCAAACCCTCAAAACGTACTGCCTAAAGATATTTTGTGAACTCTTGTTCTTACACACAGCTCAGCAATGAACCAAAAGCCCACAAAGAGGTAGTATGCCCTGCCAGGAGCTATGTGATAGAGTGAAGAAAGAGAGAAAGGACAGCTTTCACATACTTAACAACTTTCGCACATTCCCAAACTTTGCAATATCCATTCCAGGCAAACAAATAAATTTACTAGACCATGAAAGACTTTTCTTGATATAAAATCCATACTAACTTCCACTATAAATATTAATTTTTAAAGTAATCATATATAATACTTTCTTCTTATTATAATTAATCTCAAAAACAAAACAAACAAAACTCCATAGGACAGTGCTACTAAAAGTTTCAGTGAACCAGCAGCATCAACATCATTTGGAAGCCTCTCAGAAATTTGGATTCTCTTCTGATTGTTTTCAGATTCAGATTAGTACCTATTGAATTCAGATTTCTCCGGATGGGACCCAGCCATCAATATTTTCTGGTTCTCAAAGTGATTCTAATGCTCACTAAAGTTTGAGACCACTGCTCTAGAATGAGAAGTTAATATTATATTAACTGTTATTATAATATTAGCAGTTATATTTCCCAATTAATATTAAGCCTTTTTAATAGTTCCAACCTCAGATACCTTTTTCCAGCATGTATCCTAGCAATTTTACACTAATCTGTGTAAGTGCATGTGCACCTACTTAGATCTGCCACATTGGGCTAAATTCCAAAAGATACGAACCGGTTTTGTCTATTCTAAGATCTTTCACTTCATGCCCTCAAAAAACTTACAATAAATATTTTGAAAATGGCTTTAATCATAACCAAATCCCAATTCAAATTCATTATTCATATTATACCTTTTTAATAACATCCTTAAGATCTGCAGAATTTAGTTTTCCAAGTGGTTTTCCATGTGGAGGCAAAGGTTGTCCTGGGGCTGACCTTATTCCTGAATTATGTCGAGCTCCCCATGTAACATAGAAATTATCTGTAGAAATGAAAGATATTTTTGTTTTATGTGTGTTAATCATAATGGGAGCATCAGTAGATCTATTTCACACTAAACTGTTTTTAACTTAATTAGTCCAAATAAGAACATCCCCAGAAAGGCAAAGATTAATTACTTTGAATTGGCAAATAAATAAAACAATCTCAAAATTATTCTTGAAAAAGAACACAGATTTACTAATATCATCAAGAGCCCTGACTTCTAAAATAAAAGAAAAATTAACCAAATTTTAATTAGAAAATAAAAATCCCACAAACTTCCCGTAAATTTATCTACAGCAGTGTTCCTGTTACCACACAAGGAAAATCTGTTCACCATTCTATTGAAGCTTTCGCCTCCCAATTCCTCTGGAAGACTGTTCCATCAGTATCCTCCTTGTCATATGCTGCGCTCAGCAAACCTTCCCTAGACCCCAAGCTACCTCATGTTCTTCTTTCCTTCTCCATCATATTTCTCACATTATCTTCTACTTGCCAAAACCACTATACTAAACTCTTATTTGGGAACAACAATGCTACCCTAATTGTGAAATCCAAACCTTCCTTGTAGTCATTATCCCAATATGACTTGTGTGCATCTCCTTAATGGAGCTTTTTTCCTTGAATCTATATTACCATGCTCATCAAGCCACAACCACTACTCCTTTTCAGTTTTCTATTTATCCCTTATATATATATATATTTTTTTTTTTTTTTGGCGGTATGCGGGCCTCTCACTGCTGTGGCCTCTCCCATTGCGGAGGATGGGCTCTGGACGCGCAGGCTCAGCGGCCATGGCTCACAGGCCCAGCCACTCCGTGGCATGTGTTATCCCTTATATTTTTATTTTCACTGGGATCCAAATTCAGCCTATTATGCTTTAATTCTAAATACTCCCCTGGAATTATTTAATCTTATTCTGTGGATTAGATTATCAACTATCTAAATATACACCAAAAACCGATTCACTACGTATCTCTAGGCAAGTCTCCCAGCTCTAGTCTAGTCCAATATTTCCAATTGCTTAATGACATATAACTCATGCATTCATTCATTAAACACTTATCTATCACAGACCTCTATTTAAACATTGTACTTCCTGTTAGAGATAAGTAATGGATAAGACAAACATAATTTCTGCCCTCACAGAACTGATAAACTTTATGTAGATTCCCAAAAGACACTCAAAAAGCTTGTAAACATTCAAACACACGCATAAAACTGAACTCATTATCTTCATGTCTCATCATTTCTCAGCTGGACTACTGCAGCATCCTCCTACCTCATATCCCTGCTACAAGCCTTTACCCCATCAAATATATCCTCACTGCTACTAGAGTAACAAACACGAAAACAAAATCTGATAGTACCACTGCACTCCAATATCACATATAGCTTCCCACTGCCTTAAAAAAAAAAACTTTTCCTAATCAAGGCCCTTTGCAATTTGGCTTCAATTTGGCTCCACTGACTGCTTGAATCTCTTATCTCCCTCTGTACTCCAATATATATCCCAGTTTTCTCAAACCTCTGATTCTTTGCATATGCTTTATCCTTTGTCTGGAATGCTCTTCCCCTCTTCTTCACTTAATTGTATCCTTTAAGATACAGTTTGATTTCCTGCAATTGCTCCAAAAAAATTAAAGTCTTAGGTGTTAATCTAACAAAATACCTTATAGGACTTATGCTGAAAACTATACAACACTGATGAAAAAAAGCAAAGAGTATCTAAATAAATGGACAAATATATTATGTTCATGGATTGGAAAAATCAACATAATAAAGAGGTCAATTCTTCCCAAACCAATACACAGAACTAATACAATTCCTACCACAATCTCAGCAACATTGTTTATATATACAAGATTATTCTAAAATTTATATGGAAAGGCAAATAGCTAAAACAATTTTAAAGAAGAAGGAATCAGTCAATCGAATTTTAAGACTTATTATACAGCTACAGCAATCAACTCAGTGTGGTACTGGCAGAAGGACATATACATCAATGGAACAGAATCAGGGACCCAGAAACAGAGTTACACAATTAATTTTTGACTAACGTGCAAAAGCAATTCAAGGCAGAAAGGTAGCCTATTCAACAAGTGGTGGTGGAACAAGTGGACAACCATAGGCAAAGAAATGAACCATGACCTAAGTCTCACTCTTTACACAGAAATTCACTCAAAATGAACCACTGACTTAAAACATAAAACTATAAAATATTTAGGAAAAAATGGTGGAGAAAATCTTCAAAATCTAGGACTAGACAGAGTTCTTAAACTTGACAACAAAAAAATCCTTAAAAAGAAAAATTAGGGCTTCCCTGGTGGCGCAGTGGTTGAGAGTCCGACTGCCGATGCAGGGAACACGGGTTCGTGCCCCAGTCTGGGAAGATCCCACGTGCTGTGGAGCGGCTGGGCCCGTGAGCCATGGCCGCTGAGCCTGCGCGTCTGGAGCCTGTGCTCCGCAACGGGAGAGGCCACGGCAGTGAGAGGCCCGCGTACCACAAAAAAAAAAAAGAAAAAAATAAAAGAAAAATTAATAAATTGAGCTTCATAAAATTAAAACCTTTTTTAATCTGTGAAAGAGTCTATTAAGAAGATGAAAAGACAAGCTACACAGTGGGAGAATATATTTGCTAACCACATATGTGACAAAAGAATAGTATCTAAAATACAGAAAGAACTCTAAAAACTCAATATTAAAAGAAAATCCAATTAGAAAATGGGCAAAAGACACAGAGACATTTCACTGAAGAGGACATACAGAAGACAATCATATGAAAAGATGTTCAACTTCATTAGCTGTCAGCAAGATGCAAATTAAAACCAATATGACATATCAGTACACACTTATCAGAATGGCTAAAATAAGAAAATACTGACAACACCCAATGCTGGCACGGATGTGGAGCACCTGGATCACTCGTAAATTGCTGATGGAAATGTAAACTGAAATACAGCTACTCTAGACAACAGTGTGGCAGGATTTTTTTTTTTAAACTAAGCATACAAGTACCATTCAACCCTGCAATGGCATTTGGTGTGGAGAAAGTGGATCACTCATACATTTTCAGTGGGAATGTTAAGCCACTCTGGAAAAAAGAATGGTAGTTTCTTAAAAATCCAAACATGCACTTAATATAGGACCAAGCATTCCTGAGCATTTATCTCAGAGAAACAAAAATCTCCACACAAAAACCTGCACATAAATACCTACAGCAGTTTTCCTCTTAATAGCCAAAAACTGAAAACAACTCAGATGCCCTTCCACAAGTAAATGGTGAAAGAAATGGTAGCATGTCTAAATATAATACCTACTCAGCAATAAAAAGGAACAAACTACTGAAACACTCAAGAACCTGCATATATCTCCAGAGAATTATTGTCATTGAAAATAAGATTGTTGAAATGACAAAATTGAACACAGAAAAGATGGGTGGTTTCCAGGGGATGGAAGAGGAGTTGATCCATTTTAACTGTATCAATGTCAATATCCTGGTTGTGATATTATACTATTTTTGCCAGAGTTGAAAGAAAGCAAGTAAAAAGTACATGTGCTCTCTCTCTGTTAGTTCTTACAACTGTACGTGAATCTATAATTATCTCAAAATAAAAAATTTCAAAGTAACTTCCTCAAAAAGGAATTAGTCTCTACTCTTCTACACCCCTAATATCCAACATTTATCCCAAATATATTCAGAAAAGTTATATTAATTGTAAAACACTTCATGCTCTATTGTATTTACCAGTTTAACCATCTATTTGCATAAATCTTTGTGGCACCTAAACATATTAGCAATAGTTATCATTGTAAGCAAGGACTTTCACATCTGTATCTGCCATTAGATTACAAGTTTCTTAAGCACAAGAATGTATCTAGTTTATTTTTCAGTATCCAAAATTAAATTTTTAATTTTGGATACTTGAAATTTTTAAGCATCCAAAATTTTTCTTAATATTTTTTCTTAATATTCTACTATGTGGAAATCATATTTGCCTGGATCTAACATATATCAAGCCTGTATTTTTTTAAAAAATGCAACCCTTCATTAAAAAGTAAAATACTGAGAAAAAAATATTATTGAGTCCTACACAGGAGACTCTAAAAGATACCAAATTCTAGACAATTCAGATAAGACACTGATACTATCTAATGCCCAAAGGATATGTCACTTTCTTTGCAAGACGAGACACTATTAACTCAATTTTTAGACTGAGAAACATGGCAGCATTTTAGAACAAGAGCCTCTCCATGCTAAGCCATGAAAACTACACGCCACAATGACATAAAACCTCACTCAAAATCAAGCCAACTTTGAACTATTAACAGGCTTCTCTCAGCATTTCATCCTGTCCTAGGTTCTTTTGAACTTATTTCCTGATTCTAAAACTCAAGCAGCACCTAGAAAATTCCTTCTATCAATCTTAATATCCTTTTCACCTTCAAGACTCCCCTTGGCTTACGTCATTATGACCCTGGGACCAATATCAAATCTAGAAAGATACAACATAATGTATTATATGAAATATTTTTGAAGGCTTGCCTTACACTCTAATAGAATAGAAATTCATTTTGTAGCTTGAAAGCAGTTTTATTAGGAAAGAGTTCCATATTACAGTCATCCTCTGTCAAAGGCCTTTTCAACATGTTGATTTTCATTTTTTATGCATCACTCCCACAGCATTTCATAATGCGAATTGGTCATTAAGCAGTAATAGTTGCAAATGCAACATAGCTCCTTTGGTGCTATGCTTTGTTTATCATAATAATGGGTGAAGCTGATAAGAGGGTACATAAGAAGTTCTGTGCTAATGACGTTATGAGTAGTGACAGGAATGAGTCACTTTCTCAAGCGAAAGTTCATTATAATCAAATATGGATTTTCACTATGATCTTTAAATATCACACATATATGGCTATTTTTATTAGTAAAAGTCCTTCAGGAAATACAGTTTTGAATTGCAAATGTTAAACATTACGGACTGAACAACCATTTCCAAGAAAACAATTATCGTCATCATATTTTGTTTAGGACATAATTATTGAAATCTAGCAAAGAAGACAGAGCAGCCTATTACGGTAAAAACATTAAAATTATCCAAAGTTTTAGCGTTTTTGTTTTAATTAATTTTACTGAAGTATAGTTGATTTACAATGCTGTGTTAATTTCTACTCTACAGCAAAGTGATTCAGTAATACATATATAAATTATCCAAAGTTTTCATTTGTTTAGATATATGAAATCATGCTATCAGTAAGAAAAAAACTGAAAGTGCTCATAACTTTTATATATTTACATAAACTCTGTAACTATATTACCTGCCATATTGTCTAGTACATCTGAGCCCCAGTCTCCTTGAAACACTGATGTTAAAATACTGTCAAATAAATGAAGTTCCTTTGCACCAACAATTTTGTCACGAAATAAGCGCCGCGCTTCGTATGCTACAATTTCTAATACGTAAGCTAGAGGATGGTTTGAGGATCCTAAAAAAGGCAAAATTTTCTTTAATTATAATAAAATTCAAATGATTTTAAAATGGTCTGTTTCAACATAATATTAGAAAGAAAATGAGAATGAGAATCTACATACCATTATTTTGGCATCAGATAAATAGAATAAAGGGAAAAAGAGTTAAAATTCATTTTGTTAATAAGTTGGTAAACTTTTTTTATTCTTTAAAGGATTAAACTCTATTATCTCTAGTTGTTCAATAAAAATATCAATCCCCAAGAGCATATTAAGCATGCTTTGGCTACAAAGGAAAACAATTACATTTTTTTCTAAATCAAGTTTTAATAGTGACAATCATAGTTTAGGAGAGGAAGCATAATAAAATATCATAATTTTAATATCATGTTTAAATTTAATATTAACATTTTAATTTTTAAAATACTATAATTACAATACTAATTTATCTATTACAAATATAATATACAGCATACACACACACACACACACACACAATATGATATTCTAAAGAGAGATAAGTGATTTGAAATCATAAAAGCAAAACTTACCTCCTTCTAAATCATATCTGAATAAGCCAAGAACCCACTGGGTAAGGATGCAAGGAGTAAAGAAATAGTGGCTATAATCATCAACTGTAAATTTGGCCCGCACCTGAAAAAATATAGTAAATGATCTGTCTACTCTCTTAAATATATAATCATGCTATAAATTTTTCATCACCTTAAATTCATAGGAATGTCAATTTCTACCAGTGGCTGGAACTGTATTTCAATATTACTTATTTCCTCAGTTATCTTGTATTCTATATTTTATGCATTTATAAACAGTATCTAAGAGAGGTTGTTCATAAACTTCAACAAACTGCCAAAGGTTGTCCATGGAAAAAAATAAAATGAAAGGTTAAAAAGCCCTGCTAAAGAAAGGAATTCAAGGAAAGCTAACTTGAATTTTATAAAATGGTAGTTATAATTCCAAGGTGCTCATGGGTGTAAGACAGACCCATTTTATAATGCTGGGACCCACAGAGCTATCTTGTGTTCAAGAAATCATTGAACTTTTAACAAATCAAAGTGCCACAATTCAACATATAGCCAACGAGAGAAGAGCCTCTTCCTTCCTCTCTACGGATGGAGCTGCTGCTCTTATTCTGGCCTTGACTGCCTAACATTTGAATTAATTTAGAAAAACATAGCTTTATCTTTCCCCACTTCTACTCCAATACTATAAAAATCATCCCCCACAAACACTTCCATAACTTTCACATGCTATTCCCTTTACCCAAGAAGACCCTCTTTCACCTCGAGCCACTTTGTGAATTTCTCTTTATTTTTCAAAACTTAGACCACATTTCACCTCCTCTTAAAATTTACAATAGCCAGGACATGGAAGCAACCTAAGTGTCCACCGACAGATGAATGGATAAAGAAGATGTGGCACAAATATACAATGGAATATTACTCAGCCATAAAAAGAAACGAAATTGAGTTATTTGTAGTGAGGTGGATGGACCTAGAGTCTGTCATACAGAGTGAAGCAAGTCAGAAAGAGAAAAACAAATACCGTATGCTAACACATATATATGGAATCAAAAAAAAAAAAAAAGGTTCTTAAGAACCTAGGGGCAGGACAGGAATAAAGATGCAGACGTAGAGAATGGACTTAGAACATGGGGAGGGGGAAGGGTAAGCTGGGACGAAGTGAGAGAGTGGCATGGACATATACACACTGCCAAATGTAAAATAGCTAGTGGGAAGCAGCTGCGTAGCACAGGGAGATCAGCTCAGTGCTCTGTGACCACCTAAAGGGGTGGGATAGGGAGGGTGGGAGGGAGATGCAAGAGAGAGGAGATATGGTGATATATGTATATGTATAGCTGATTCACTTTGTTATAAAGCAGAAACTAACACACCATTGTAAAGCAATTATATGCTCCAATAAAGATGTTAAAAAAAAAAAATCTACCACACACAACAAAGCTATTCACTCCCTCTTCCATGCTATCTCTGTAACTGGTGCATATTGTTATTGATAGACTTACTACACTGTATTAATAGTTTATTTATATGATCAGGTCCCTCATTAGACTGTGTATTTCTAGGGAATAGTGACTCAGTCATCTTTGTATCCCTAGGACTAGCACTGGAAAGAGAAGGTACTCAATAAATATCTTCTGCATCCTTAATGCCTATTTTCAAGTATCACCCCACTTTATCAGAATATTTTAGACATTTCCGCACAGATAAAAGGAAAGAAATAAACATCAAGAACTACTCTCAGGTTTGAAGCCTGAAAGACAGAAACTGATAGAAGTCAGGAGAAAGATCTAGTTTTGGAAAGAAGATGAACCCCACTGTAAATAAACTAAATTTGAAATCAAAGCAGAATGACCATCTACTCACTGATTTATTCATTCAATATTTATTGGGTGTCTATTAGAAACTATGCCAGAAGATACAATAATGAATAACACACACACAAACATCTATCCTCACAGAGTCACTCTCCAGTAGAAAAGTATAATAAATGACAGGAAAAGAAAGCCTGAGCATCAACACAAATCAGGATTAAAGGTAGCCCTTTGGGAGTAATACCAATAGACATGAAAACTACAATGTAAGTGAATATATACCTGTTCATACACTTGTACCATAGATCCTGCTAAGAGATAAATTTTTGATGAAGAACCCCAAATAGTATGATTCTTCAGATTTTTATGTAGAACTGGTTTCAGATATGCTCCATAAATTGTCTGTAATTGCTCTCTTTCTGGGTAACTAAAAAAAAGCATATAAGAAGTTGAAATAAATCAACATTCTAAACTATTTTTTAAAGATTTTTTTAGATGTGGACCATATTTGAAGTCTTTATTGAACTTGTTACAATATTGCTTCTGTTTTATGTTTTGGTTTTTTGGCCGCAAGGCATGTAGGATCTTAGCTCCCTGACCAGGGATCGAACCTGCACCCCCTGCATTGGAAGGGGGTTATCCACTGATGTTTTGGTTTTTTGGCCGCAAGGCATGTAGGATCTTAGCTCCCTGACCAGGGATCGAACCTGCACCCCCTGCATTGGAAGGCGAAGTCTTAACCACTGGACCACCAGGGAAGTCCCCTAAATTATTATTTTAATGTTAAGTTATAGCAATGGTTTTCAAACTGTGTGGATTTCAAACTGTGTGGTTTTCAAATTGTAAGGCCTAAATACCTCCAAGGCCTAAATACCTCCAAATTGTAAGGCCTAAATACCTCCAATGTTTACTCAAGGGCTAAGGCCAGGCTTCACAGACCCTATTGTTACTTCAACTAAATCAGATCCCTAATTATCTGTTTTCAAATAGTAAGGATTCTAATAGAGGATTCCAATGAAATTACTTAAAAACCTAATTGTTTAAAAGACCACTGATCTTTAGAAAGGGCCAAAGGAAAATTCCGCTTAAGAAAAAGTATTTTGAATTAAGTATTTATAAGTATAAAAGTATTTTGAATTGTCTGTACAAAGAACAGTAATCCACCTTAGAACTACAGAAGTAGAAAACAACAAATAAAATCAACCTGTTTCTCCCTAAGCAAAATCTATTTCAGTACAGCTTAATTGGTTGCTGTAACATTTCTAAAAGAAGAATGCTAATAGACGGGGGCAGTTTAGCATGAAAGCACAAAAACAAGATTTTGTAAGGCAAAATAGAGGACCTAGCGTCATAAAATTCAAGTCCATGTAACAATTATGGACCATGGAGATGGATGGGTATGTTATGATTAATATTATAAGCCACTAAATGACCTAACTCTACTTTGTTAAAATTTAAATTCTTTTTTTAGTTATCTACATAAAATTTGATTGTATTTTTGCTTTAAATAACCCATAAAACATTTAAATCTAAAACCCACCATTCAGATTCCTGAGACTGACATTTAAAGACAATACAAAGCAGTTGTTTTGTTTCTAATATATAACAAGCATTGATTAAAGCCTTCATCACCCTAAATTACTGCCTACAGTTTAGGAAGGATAGGAAAAAAATAACATCAGAGCTTAAGTTTGACTATTTTTATATTCTACATTTTGAAGTAATATCATTAATATATACCTTTCATAAAATGCAATGTATGTCTCCCTAAGTCAAAAAAATCTTTTAATACAATGATACGTACTCTACAGCACAAAGACGAACAATAGAAGTAAATCTGGTAGTAAGCTTATGTCTTCCCAGTCTTCCTCCAGCTGACACAGAAGCAACAATTTGAATATTTTCTAAACCAACCCATTCCAAATTTTCATCATAAAATCCTTGATATGTCAATACCTATTTGAAAATAAATATATTTAAGTGTTTTATGCTTAAGATTTTCTAATCATGATATATTTTGCATAAAATTCAATTGTTTCCAAATGCAATCATCATCAGAAGATTATGGTTACTGGGAAATGGGGGGAAGACAAACTGGGAGATTGGGATCAACATATACACACTACTATGTATAAAATAGATAACTAATAAGGACCTACTGTATAGCACAGGGAACTCTACTCAATACTCTATAATGACCTATATGGGAAAAGAATCTAAAGAAGAGTAGATATATGTATAGGTATATCTGATTCACTTTGCTGTACAGCAGAAACTAACACAACATTGTAAATCAACTATACTCCAATAAAAATTTTGTTTTTAATTTTAAAGACTCTGTGTTCAATTAATGTTAGCTGAATTATCCTCATTTTTAAAATGCTTTTCAAATAAATGTTAAAATCCAGGTGACAGTATAAATCCCCCATCAATTGTCAAAAAAAAAAAAAGTGAAAGAGGGCTTCCCTGGTGGCGCAGTGGTTGAGAGTCCGCCTGCCGATGCAGGGGGCACGGGTTCGTGCCCCGTTCCGGGAAGATCCCGCATGCCGCGGAGCGGCTGGGCCCGTGAGCCATGGCCACTGGGCCTGCGCCCCCCGTCTGAAGCCTGTGCTCCGCAACGGGAGAAGCCACAGTGGTGAGAGGCCCACGTATGGCAAAAAAAAAAAAGTGAAAGAAATCAGGAAAAATATAAGGATAATATTTTTTCTATAAATATTTTATTATATTCTTCAGTTATATAGAAAAGCAAAATGCGAACCAAAATGAGTATATTAAGCTCTAATTTAGAATTTAGAGTTTCTAATGTGATGTAAATCACATAAAGAAAAAAATCTTCCACAGTGACTGAAGCATGACTGAGGAAGTCTAACTGCTCTCAGAAGAATGCATACCTAAAAGAATGAAGCAAAAACTTTCCCAGCTCCAGCACCATCCCCAGTTTCTGCTTTCCTCCATTTTTTAGGAATAAAGGGTAGGTAAATGGTGTAGGGTAAAGGTTGTTTTTACTCTTTCTGTCATATATCATCTTGATGTAATACTAATCTTTAGATGGAGGAAGATCAAAGAAAGTAGCCCTGGAACAAGTGTGAGATGCTTCAAGAGTTTAATTTCCATGACACATGCTAGATAAAACTAGCCCTAAAAAGGAAAGCAGATTTTCTATCTACAAGAAAAGTTAATGAAATTAAATTGTTTCCAATTATATCAAAACACTTCAAGTGATAAGACCCACCTGCTGCAGGAAAGCTACCAAAGTACTGGTCCCCCATTTATCAAGCTTGGGTAGGTTGATATCTTTTAAGTACAGAACAAGTCTCTCACAGTCTTTTGGTCTATACACTCGACCAGTATTAGTACTGATTACCATGCAAGTCTGGCTCAGTTTCTGCAGGAGATGCCGAGAAGTTGTTTGTGCACTACAGTGAACTGTAGCAATTTGAGTGGACCGGAGTTGGGAAAAGGCATACCTGAGCAGCATCCTGAGAAAGATATAAAACATTTGACTGCAAAAATGCAACCAATAAAATACTTTCTATATTCAATACAAAATTTCTATTTTTAAATATTTTAGTTTCTAAATTACGTATGATGTTTAAGGGAAAAGTGGTAAATATAGATATGGTTTCCATAACTATCCATAGCTATGAAGGTAAGCTTTCTAATTTTTAGACTGGAAAAAAAATTAATTCATATTTTAAGGCATTCTTGGGACTCTTTCAGCAAAAAAAAAAAAAAAAAATCACAGTTCACAGAAATAATTCAGTTTGCAAAAGTACACATAAAAAGTACTGTTTCCCCACAGGTGAAGGAAAGATTTTAAAATATTAAGTTCTCCAAGTTAAAAAAAATTACTATGACTTTACAGAATTGTTTAATTATTACTAGAAATGTGAAAATAATAATCCATATTTCCTTTATTTCCAAAAAACTACACTCAGGAGGCACTAAAAGAGGTTGAATTCCACTGAATTAAAAGCTATTTTTAAATAGCTAACTTCAAGATTCATTTTTTATAACTACAGCATATAGTAGTTTGCGAGTACATCAGGTATTCATTTTTTATGATTGTACGCACAGATTCTTTTTAAGAGTATCTTCTTCTAATTCCATTGGAAAACACATAACTTGGCAGAAAAAAGGACATATTTTTCTCTGTAGTCATATTATCTTTACAAGTAGTGACAATAAAGAGTCCTTCATGAAAATGTAAATGCTACTTTAACCAAAAAAAAGGTAACAAAAGCTGTTAAATCATTTTAAAAGAGGAGAGAAGCATAAATCCACAATATGCACCTCGATTAACATTTTTCTACTCTTACCCTTTGCCACATCCTTCTGGTCCGACAAGAATAAATGGCTGTTTAGTATCAGAACTTAACCAAGGTTTGAAATAATCTAGACCTCGTTGCATGTCAGGAGTCTGAATGACTGGAAGGGTTTGGCTATTACTGAAATCATCAGCAGTCAAGTTTTCTGGCTTCTTCAGCACATAAGATGCTAATCGTCCTCTACTCGAGTCATAGTAGGTGTCCATTGGTTTGTGAGGGTCCGGAGGAGATTCTCGTGCCCAATTAAAAACCTTAAGAGGAAAAAGTTGTGATAGGTTTTCATATACAGTGCTCCAAACACAGTATGTGAAATTTTAATTCTTTAAAGTAAATGCTCCAAAGAGAATCATCTTACTTTAAAAAAAGTTCACATGCACAAAACTCACCTAATATCCTTAATAATTATAGTAACATTTTATCTGAAATATTACTCTCTGAATGATCATTCAAGCAAATAAAAGTCATCTGGTTCACACATATGTTGTATAAATATATTCAACTTTTAAATGAATTCTTATGAACGCTGAATTACAAATTGTACAATGTAGGACTCCTAGACCTTTCATTTCCAGTACATTTTGGTACTGAACATTCCACTGTCACCACCACTGCTCTCAACTTGTTATTTCTTACACAAAAAACTGTTATCTGCACAGATACACAGCAGAGAGTTAGCCCCTAATGCCACTCTTCAACAGCTTTATTCTAAACTTTGGCAATAAAACGTCTGCTTAAAAGCAGCATATAATATGACATTGAGTGGTAGCAATGAGAAGCATCTGGTAACAGAGGCAACAGAACAGCCATGGAAAGAAAAACAGAACAGAGAAAGCAATAAATGGTGATATCAATGAAACAAAGTGATAAAAATGCAGAAACATAATGTTGGAGCCAACCCAAAGGAATATGTGTTCAAGTATTTCAACAGAGGCCAATAGGAAGAAATTCCTTAATATGTAAAATTTAGTTTTATAATCGTGGCTGAAATATACCTTTGCATTTAATAAAGAAAAGATTTATAATGATTACTCCATCCAAGCATTCCTAACTGCTAAAACTCTTCTGGTTAAAAAAAATGATTAAAAATATGTTATTTTAAGATTAAAAATGAATAAAATAATTATATTTATTTACACAGCTAAGTATCAAAAATATCTAACAAAAAAGGTATAGTCAGAACTTTAGCCTATTAAATATTAATTTATAAAATTTTACTATCATAAAATATCACAAACTAGTTCAATCAAAGGAGAAAATAAATATACATGTACCTATGTACTTATACAGACGGTCCTCAACTTACAATGGCTCGACTTAAAGATTTTTCAAGTTTACAATAGGGCAAAAGTGATATGCATTCAGTAAAAACCGTACTTTGAATTTTGATCTTTTCCCAGGCTAGCAATAATGTGGGAAGATACCTTCCTGTGATGCTGGGCAGTGGCAGTGAGTGGCAGCAAACTGCAGCTCGGGCAGTCAGCCACAAAATCACCAGGGTAAACAACTGATATGCTTACAACCATACTAGTTTTCACTTTCTGTATAACAGTCAAGAAATTACATTCTATTTGACACTTTATTATAAAATAGGCTTTGTGTTAGAGGATTTTGCCCAAGTATAGTCTAATGTACGTGTTCTGAGCACTTTAAGACAGGCTAGACTAAGTTATGATATTTGATAGGTTAGGTGTAGTAAATGCATTTTCGACTTAGGATATTTTCAACTTATGATGCTTTTATCTGGATGTAACTCCATCATAATTCGAGGAAGATCTGTATATAAATGCATTATTATTGTATTAAATGCATAATTTCAAAATTTTAAAGTTCTATACCAAGGATCAATGAAAATTGACAAAAAATGTTGACTAAACATAGGCTTTAAAATGTGTATTACCTCTTTGGTGAATTCCCGACGTGACTTCATGTTCAGATTTCCACCCAGCCCCCTTATGAGATTAATAATAAATTGATCATGATCTCTGCATCCATGTAGATGTGATAAACCATTCATCACAGTCCCAACCAAACTTGTTTCTACCACATAGTCATTCTGTTGATTGAAATCCATGTTACAGACAAAAGGTAAATATTAACCAGTAAATTAGAACCATACACAGATTGATGTTTACTTATCTTTCCAAGGATCATCTTTAAATTAATCCCCTTACTCAAGTTATAGAAAGTTTAGATTTCAATTTATATATATAAACTTTGAAAATAAAAAGTAATCATAAAAACACAATTGTGTATTTCTAGCTGAAAGTGCTGGATTCCTCAAATAGATACACTGTTTGTTTACTTCCTAAACCTGAAGAATATTAAAAAAAAATAAGGTAAATCAATGAGCATTGGTCTAAAAGTAATAGTCCCTCATTTCCTCTTGCTGATAGAAAAGAAGCTAGAGGTAAGGGCTAGGTTAATGGCTCTGGACAAGAAAGGAAAGTAAAAGCAGGCTTAAAAACAATTTGGAACCTTTCTCTACACAGAATTTTAAAATGAAACTTTTGGACTCCGGTGGTGTAGATGATTTTGATCTGTGGGCCTCTGGGGCCCTGTGTAACTGCCAGGGAGTTAGAAGGGGAAAGCGTTCTCATTCTTTCTCTAAGTATTTGCTGAGAACCAATTATGCATTAGGATCTGCATGTGGTGCTAGGTATTTTTTTTAAAAGGTGAATTAAACAGAGCCCTTGTCTTAATGGAAGTCAAGTCTAGTAGAGGATATGGTTAACACATTGTGGCAGAAGCTATAGAGCAGAGGAAGAGTGTATTCTGAGAAAGGATAACTCAGATTGCGGGCTCAAGGTCTCTTTGAAAAAGGTGACATTTAAGCTAACATTAAAAGAATGAGATCTATCTGACATGCAGAGAACACAGCATATGCAATGGTAAGCCATCGGTGCAGTTAAGGAATTAAAAGACGCTTATGCCTGAGTAAGCAAAGGAAGAG